GTGTACTCCGGAGGAGAGTTTGCGGTTTCCAAGTGCCAAAATTAGGGTCCCTCTAGTCCAGTTAGTTGAGGCGTTGGCGGATCTTACCTCTCTACAGAAGAAAAATATTCGTGATCTCTGGTTTGGTTCGTTGCTGGAGCTCAAGATTAAGGAGATGCCTCTTCAGTTGGGCCGATGGTTACTCTTAAATTTTGACCCCCAAGCTCGGTCTATTCGATTGGGTGAGGGTGAGTTTTTACTTTTTAGAGGTCTGGGAGGAGGATGTTGCAGCTATCATGGGGTTCCCACGTGGGGAAGTCGTGGTTACACGCCGTGCTCGACATGCGAAGAGTAAGTTATTGACTGCTTGGCGTGGGACGTTTGAAAAGGATCGTTATGATGTTAAACCAATGGAGGTAGCCTAGTGGATTCGGGACGATCTTGAGGGTGGGGACTGATTTAAGCGGCATTTTATGGTGTTGGTCATTAGCTCCCTCATATCTTGCATGAATAATGGTTATTGTAACCAGATGGTATTTCACCACTTGGATGATGTTTCTGCAATTGGTAGTTTGAATTGGTGTCGGTATGTTATAGAGGAGCTTCTTTCTACGCATGCATTATGGCGTGTAGCTAAAGACCACCAGTTTACTGGTCCCATTCTTTTCTTGATTGTAAGTTTGTTTCAGTTTTTAAGCCCTCTACCTTGTTTTTATAGCTTTCATTCCATGTCTCGTTGTTGGCTGATGTGTTTGCCTTGTTTTTATTTTGGTTTTTGTGTTCATTTTAGTTGTTGTACTTTGATCGGGTTCGGCATGGTCCTCGTGTTGTTCCTCGTGCTATTCCAGCATTTCGAGGGTGGACTTCCAAGTTGTTGCGTGAGTGGGAGTTGTCGGAGATTCGTGCTGGGGGGGTTTGGGGTTGGTGAGTTGGAACCTGTCCAGGGTGTGTATGCTAATGTGGTTCATGATCAGGCTGCATATCGTGATGATCCGGGTGTGGAAGCACCGGTTAATCTAGGGGGTTCGCCTGGTCCTTCTATACCTCCTGGTTGCTTGCGTAAGGTATATTTTTGTTCTGTCGTGTTAGGGTAGTGTTATATGCTCAGGTCCTTTTTTGTGTGTGCACTTTTAGTGATTATTGCATGCTTTGTATGTTTTTTTCTTCGGGGGATTCAGTGTTTTTGATTATCTATTGCTTTGTTTCTTCTTTGTTTTCATTGTAGTCTTTGGTTGAGCGCTATGCTCATGAGATTGGGGTGATTTCTCGGTGCATACTTACCCTTGTGGAGTTGGGACGTGAGGCGCAGCCGTATGTTCTGCTCCTGATGCGAATTTATGCCAGTTGGTTGAGGTTGGTCAGATGCTCACTGGTCTAAAACCCCAGCCCTCCATACCTGTGGACTACGATGGCACCACCTCGTAGCCCACATTGTCTCAGTTTGATGATGATTTCTGGGCTAATCCTGATAATGTTCGTGAGTTGGCTGAGGTTGAGCATGCCCTTATGGCGAGGCTTCTATTGAATCATATGCCATCGTTTAGTCTTGGGCTTACGCAAGAGTTTGGTGGTAGTGTTGTGGATTCTGGTGTTGATATTGCTCCGGAGCATGTATTTTGCTTCTTTATTGGACTTTCACTTTTTGTGTGCCGTAGGTGGTTTCTGTTTGTGCCCTTTTTGTTTCAAATGTGTGCACACCTCTGGTCACTTTGTGTGTGTTTTTAATAAGTTTTCATTGCACTTGCGGGCCATTTGAACTGTGTGCAGGAAGTTTCTCGTGAGCACGTGCCGGTGTCTCATCCTTTGGGTGTGGTTGGGGATGTCCCGGTGGTAGTAGACCGTGGGGATCATGTGCTAGTTGCCTCTCCAGTTCAGGGTTTAGATGAGGGAGCTCCGGGCCATAGTAATGTTGTTGAGGGTGGTGCTGGGCATGTGTTTGATACCCCTGCTGAGGTAAATGTCTGCTTTTGGTTGGTATTTATATTCGTATTCTTTTTTTTTTTTGTTTTTTTTTTTTAATTCTGTTTGATCTATTTGCAAATTCATAGCATGTTGTTCTATGTCGTGATTCTTCCCTGGTCTGTGTTGCCCCATTGAAGCCTGTTAGGCCGGTTCGACCTGTGCCGGATTCTATCCGTGCAGCGGATCTATATGGTGATGTGCCCTTGCCTTCAGTTGATGTGGTTGATGATGGTGTGTTCAGCAAGTGGGTGTTGGAGTGTGGTAGCGACGCATTGTAAGTATTTGTTTAATTGTTAGTCGTTCGGCAGTTTCCCTTGTGTTGTTTTCCCCCCTTTGTTGAGTTATGGTGATGGCTTAGGCATGAGGTGCTGTTTTCTCACGGTGGTTGCGTGGTACGTCGTGGGGATTTACGGTCGTTGGCTCCAGGGTCAGTTGTTAGTATTGTAGTGCTTGATGCTTGGTCTGTAATCTTGAATTGTCGTGAGTTTGGCAAGAGTCCTGGTGCACCATTGCGGGTTTTTACCTCGACTTCCTCCACTGTAAGTTTGTATGTTAGTGGTCTCTTGTTTTTCTTTCCCGATTTCCTAGATTGTTTTTGCCGGCATTTAACTTTATGGATTTTGTTGTCGGGTTTTTAGCTTGATATTGGTGGGCTTGCTCTGGATTCACAGTCCGAGGCTGTGCGTTTGTTTTCTCTTGCTTTGAACGCATTGACATTATTGATAGTTCTGCTTCGACGGAGGCCACTTCGAAGAAGTATGGTGACACTCCTGATAATTTGGTACGTTGTGTTGCTATTCTTTTCTTTTTTCGGAGTTTTTTATTGTGCGTTGCTTTTGGGGTGGTAGATGATGATCATTTGTTGTCTTTTGTAACAATTATTGTTGTTCGAGTTTTTCAAAGCTGCTGGCCTGGGATATAAACAGGGTTTGTGCCATCATTTAGTGCCCAAGAGGATGCAGATGAAGTGGCGTGACTCGCGTAACAAAGTTGACAGTGGTGTTTATGATGCCATATGGAGTCTTATGGTGGTGAAGGGGTGTCGAGATGGGAGTGTGGTCTAGTTAAAGGCGACGTAGCTGGTCTTGAGCGCTTGCGGTTTCAGTACTTGAAGGCGATTTGCGTTGCAGATATCAATGCCAACAGTGTAAGCAATGTGGCAAATGCAGTGCGTTATCTTTCCGAAAGAGGGAGTAGGGCCGTAGTGTAGTTATATAGTGTTTTTGGTGGGTGACTATTTTGTTGGGTAGTTTCTGGGTTTTAGTATTTTGGGCAGTGTCACGATTTCTGTATTCGTAGTCGTTTTGTTACTGTTTTGACCCTTAAACTCTGTGTATATCTTAGATGCTGGTTTTTTTTTTAAAATATTAATCTATTGTTGGCCTACAATTTTGGCCTTCAATTGTTGGTTTTTTTATGTGTTTCTTTGTCTAGTTCGTGTGCCTATCTTGTCTCTTGCCAGTTTGGGAGGTTGTGTTAAATGTGGTGGTAGTGTTTTTCCTTGTGTGCTTAGCTTATGGCTCATATGTGCCTTGTGTCCCTAATTTGCGTGTGGTGGTGCGAAATAGTTCCGTGGTGCTGTCTGTGATCTTGGCGGACTGTAATGTTCCCTTCGAGGATTAATTGTGTGCACTGTCTATTTGAATGCGTGCCCTTGTTTATAGTTTCATCTTGTTGGACTCCCGCTCGTTTTGGTCTGTGTTTTTCTATTATGCAGTAGTTGCGACCTTTTTGGCGTAAATTTTTTAGAGTGCATAGTGTTTGAAAAAATTGGAATTTTGTTTTTTATTTTTTTATTTTAAAACTAAGTGTGTAATTTTCCTGGGTTATTGCATGGTGTGGTGTGGAGTACAGGGGTTTTGAACTGAATTCTGAGCTAGGAGTCATGTGGCCTACCAGGATTGACTGTGTGCACTGACGACTAAAGTGTGTGCCCTTGTTTCGCTGTTTTGTTCTGTCGTAGGTGGAGCGATGATGTCGGTATTTTTTTAGGGTGCGTACTGTGTTAAAATATTGGCATGGAGTTTTGGGTCTGGGGTGGTTTTATTTATTTATTTACTTAACAAAGTGGGTTATTATTCTCGGATTATGCATATTATGATGTTGAATTAAACTGCATGTTCGAACATGGCTCTTATCTATTAGTAATGTGGCTTACGAGGATCTATTTTGTGCACTAGTTAATAATGTGTGTGCCCCTAGTGTGTAGGTTCATCTCTTTGGACTCCCGTTAGATTTGGTCCGTGCTTTTTTATTCTTTTGCAGTCGCGGCGTATTGGGCGTAACATTTTTAGGGTGCAGACTGTCATACTGTTTTAAAACTTTGTAATTGCATATTGGTTTTTGTTTTTTTTTTTTCTTTTTTTAACACGGTGTGTGGTTTTCCTAGGGTAATGCATAGTAGGGTGTTGAATACTAGATTTTTGAACTGAAATCTTAGGTTGGAGTCACTAGGTCTGTAAGGGTTTATTGGCTTGGAGTATAGGGTCGGGGGTAGTTTATTTATTTATTTCTTTAGCAATGTGTGTAATTATTATCGGATAATGCGTAATATATTGTTGAATAAAACTGCATGCTCTTACAGGAAGCTAAGCTAATAGTAATGTGCCCTACCAGGAAATATTTTGTGCACTAGTTAATAAGGTGTGTGCCCCCTCTTCTGTAGTTTCAATTCTTTGGACCTCCGTTCTTTTTGGTATTTGGTTTTTTTTTTTCGTTGGTGGTTTTAGTGGGCAGTTCCGGCTGTCATGGCGCGCTTCTTCGTCGCAGTAATGGCATTTGCGTCCATCTTTTCTTTTCTTTGCTTGTGCTTTCTCCCGTGTGCTCTTTAATCGCTTTCCACTCCCTTTGTTCTTTGATACTTGTGGAGGTTTCACTTGTACAACTGTTGTTGCCTGTGTGCCATAAAATGTCTCCAGTAATTCGTTTTTGTTATTTGTATCATGTCTCTTCTCTTTGGTCTTCAATAATTTACTTTTGTGCTCTAGTATCCAGTCCAACATCTCCTGCATTTCAGATGTGTTTGCCTGTGATAATGCTATGCAAGAGTAAAACTCACTCTATAGTTTAGCTGTTAGTCTCTTCTCTTCTATTTCTGTATTGTCTGATCCTCCTTGTTGAATGTCGTCGTTGGCCCGGTTGTGTGCATATGCATTCCGTGTCCACCTTGGTATTATGTATTTTTCCGGTATCACTTCTGCATCATCATCCTTCAATACTGCAAACGCATGTTTGCATAATATTCCCACCCTAGTGAATTTCCCACAGGAACATCTCACTGTCTCATTCTCTTTATAATATTGTACTGTGAAGCTCTTCTTTTTTCCCTCTTGGATTGTATATAGTACGTGATCAGTTGCTTGTTCCTTTCTAGATATTTTGCATGAGATACTTCCTTCTAATATCTCTGTTTGGATGTCGTAGAAAATTGTATTGGTGTATAGGGAAGATGCATGTTTCTCAATTTGTAGTGGTGTCTTCATGGGTGGGTAAGACGTTTCGCACTCTGCGACTAATCGTGCTTGGTTGTGCCGCTGCATCTCGATTGCGCTTTTGAACTGGGTGAAGAATTCTAACAATGTTCCATGTGTGTTGATGCAGTCCCCAAATAGTCCATTTTCTGACTCTAATCTGGATGTCGTTCGCATTAACCCTCCCACGAACACGTCGTTGTAGTACACCTCTATCCAACTTGATCTGATCTCGTACATTTGTATGAACCACTTGTGCTCTTCGAGGCTGTACTCTGTTATTAATGTGTTCCACTGTATTTCATACTCCTCACGTCCCAAGGTTTTGTCCAAGACGATTGCATTTAATTCCTTTATGAACTTTTTGTCTTTTGCTAATTTCCCACCAACCTTCTCCTCCACTTTGGTCATTATGTGCGAAATGCAGAATCGGTGCCTAGTTTCTGGAAACACTTGCGGCATTGCTTCCTTCATTGCCGGGTCTTGGTCCGTTATAATACATGTTGGAGCGCGCCCCATACATCGTTTAAAAGCATCTAGGAGCCACACGTAAGATGCGATGTCTTCCTTTGCTATAAGGCCTGCCGCTAAAGTTATGCACTTCTTGTGGTTGTCTATCCCGGTGAATGGCACAAATACCAGTTTGTACCTGCACATATTTGTGAGTGTTAGGCCGCTGTGTTGATTTTCCAGTCGTTCAACGTTTATTCTAGGCGGTATTCGCTACATTTTTCCTTGCATAGTAGGGGCACAAGACGTAGTGAATACTGGCACAATATATAGGCTGAGGTGCACACAGGTTTCAGTTCAGTGTACTGAAGCGTAAAACTTTTATCTCGGTTGTTATTCAAGTTTCATACTCTCTATAAACTAGTGTATATAATTTTAATAATTTATAACTAACCTGTAGGTTCGGTACGTTGCATCGATTGACACCATATCTCCGAAGCATTTGTATTGTGTTTTTGTCGTTTGGTCTGCCCAGAACACCCTGCGTAGCTGGTTTTCCTCGTCCACATCGTACTCAAATGTGAAACTTGGGTACAACGCTTGCTTCTTTGCGTACTTGTCTATCACTGCTTGTGCATCTGCTTCATCAAGCTTTGCATTTACGTCTTGCTTGCAATTTCTGAACTCTACGCATGTAGGCCCCATATTTGCACCTCCCCCGATCTCATTGAATATCTTGAATGCTGTTGTTGTTCCTATGTTTATTTTTCCACAGTTTTTTATGAATACTTTATGTCCAATATCAAGCTTTCGATTTATCTTTAAGAATGGTCTTGCTATGGGTGAGCATAGGCAGTGGTTGTGTCGCTCTTCTAATACGGTTAGTTAGTAGTATCCCTCATTCTATAGCCGAATTCCACATTTTGCCCAACGCCTCACTCGGTTAGACACACGTTGCCGTGTTTGCTTTTTGTCTTTGTTTTCATTATTTGTGTCTGTGCTCCCTTGAGTTGGTGTGGGTGGGTATCCTTCTCGTGAACATAGCAAATACTTCGATTCAATCTGTCGGTGTCTATTCTTTTTCGCCGAGGTGCATCTAACATCGAAACCTACCTCTTGTGTGTACTTTTTGTAAAACTCAACAACTTGCTCTACGTTCTCAAAATGTTGTCCCCGGTAAGGCTTTAATGACTGCTCACATTCTGGGATGGTTTCTTCTGTTATTCCAAGATATATTCCGTGATCAGGCTCTGTTCCCTCATCTGCTGCAATTTCTGTTGCATTTTAAAATGTCAGCAGGAGTATGCATTTATGTATGTTGGCAGACAGTGGAACACGGCATATAGCAAGCATGCACATCTAATAAATCATCATGGCACACAATATGCAGAAAAATGTGACTGCTCAGCATTCAACCAACCTAGGCTGTATTTCATTACACAGAACCCCACCCCCCTCTCCACGGTTCGCTAAATCATATGATCATGGACACGTCTAACCATTGCCCAAGATCCAGGCAGTACTCTACGTTCAGTATACCATAATAATATTTATTTTTGTTTAATTCGTGGTTCATATTTATTTAGGCCTTACCGTCGATCATGTCGTCCTCATGCACTCTACGGTCTTCCTCATGAATTTATGCCTCTGGGAATACATAGTCGTCGGCGTTCATGGATGTTCCCTTGCTACTTGTTTCACCGGAGTCCATGGCTGCGCGTAGAACAATTCTACTCTTCTCGCCAGTACTGCTGCTCTCGCCAATGAACGACGCCAGATTGTAATTAGTATTTGATTCCCTTCAGTGTTCGAATTCTTGCTCTAGTCATATTTTACGTAGATGGATCCTTCTATAATTAAGCATGTTGTCAAATCTCTTCTTTGCCCTCTTTTAATTATTTTGGGCGTTAATTATATTTGTATATAGACAACATCTTAGTCATTCAATCTCTTGGATTGGATGGCTATGATTTGTCCTCATAGTCCTCTATATATTGTAGTCCTCATGTGAACTCAACCCCATATATATATATATATATATATATATATATATAGACTTGTGTTCAAATGAGGACAAGTGTATTATAGAGGACTGTGAGGACAAATGTAGTGTGTGCCATTAGTCTGTATGTCGTGTGCATGATCGAATGTAGTCGTGTGTCACAGTTTATATGTCGCGTGCATACATTTGTTAATTAATAGAGCCTGGGTTCGAAACCTGATGTTCACGTGTATTCTTGTGTACCATTATGTATTAAATTGTGTGCATGATAGTAATTTGTTGTAGCCCATTATTTGTCCTCACAGTCCTCTATATATTGTTGTCCTCATTTGAACTCAACCCTATATGTATATGTGTGTGTATATATATATATATATATATATATATATATATATATATATATATATATATATATATATATATATATATATATATGCATCCCTCCTCTACCGTCTATGCATCCCTACCACGTCAACAGCGCACCCGAGATCGCCCGCTTCCTTTGTTGTACCCTCGCTGACTACTACCAACAGCATGCATCATGTCGTCTCCTCTTCCTCCACCCACGCTCAATGTCTCGCCACAGGTGCCGCCGCGACGACCAACACTCCCCCGATTGCTCCCTCCATGCCCGGTGCCTTCACGACCATGTGGACCCACGATGTTTACCCTACTGCCGGCGACTGTGGCGATCGTGCCGCCCTCGTCCGCTTGTCGACTTCTAACCCCACAACACCCACTTTCGAAGAGTTCTCTCAGTCGCTTTTCGCCGCATTTTCGCATGGCACAATCGAGTCAGTCCGCTAGGACGCGACCGCGACCACGGCCGCCGCCACCGCCACTGTTCCTGTTGCCCCTTCGCAATCTGCTCAATGCCGCTGGAAGCTGCCGGAATCCCTTCGCCGTCTCCGCTCCCCGTTCTCGCGAGGCAATGCTGTTAGATCACTCTGGATGCGCACCCATGCCAGCAATTGCCACTCACGCCACACTTACTAATGCTACGCTGAACACCACTACAACTGGCCAAAGGTTGGTACCCTTTGTTGTTAATCTTGTAGATGATGGGTCCCCTCCGGCCTCCCCAAGTTATCGTATTTTGGATCCTGCTGTTCCTCGCGGGATCCAATCATGTTTGTCCAGTGTTGAGTTGATGTCTCTAGATGAATGGTTGGGTGAGGGGGTAAAAATGATTATCCTGGGCGTCACGGATACCATGACTGAGCCTCTGGGCCCTCTCTTGGTGGTAGTCCATTTCCATTCTATTCAAACAGGTCTCCAATTTCCTTTACACCATCTAGTAGCCGAATTCCCTCGCGTCCATAACGTTATTCCATGCCAGCTAACCCCCAATGTGCACAGACTTATCTTCTTACTTGCTTTCTTATGAGATGTCGCGAGGTTAGCGTACCGCCCTCTTTGTCTCTCTTCTTGCAGATGTACCGTGTCGGCGGCCAAACCGCCTTGCTAGATGGAGAAGATTTACTAGTCAGTGCACTGCCAGATCCTACTTTGGATGGTGGTCGGTCTTCCCCGATGATGGATGTGGACATGGATCTACCTACTCCGATCGCTACTTGCGTAGTTTCTGTGGGGATATAGGAGCCATCGTCGCCCTCCTTCACGGCATGAAGAGTACGAGCCACATGGTCCCTTGGCCGCGCGGGGGTTTGGCGATGTTGCTGCCTCTGCGACCATACAAGTCCAGTCACATCGAATTCATTCGGCGAAGTGTGCACGACATGGTGACTCCCTGCAAGTGATTTTGAATGGATAGCAGATCCATCGATGCACTCAGCTCCCACCCCGTTTTACTGCCCGTGTCGCCTGGTCCTGACCCCTTTTTTAGGTGACTATGCAGGCTATTGGGTTGCAACAACGATTTAGACATGGCCACCAGGGAGTATACCGAGTCTGAATGGGCACGGGAGATGTTGGTAGCCGATTTAGCACGATCGGAACAGAATCACACGCAATCGCGCGTGGCGCATGATACATTGGCGGCTGAGCATGGTCGGTTGGAGAAAGCATTCCAGGCTTTGCAAGAGCGACTCATACAACTGGAAGCCCTTCACGCTACTGCCGTGCAGGCAGCCATTCGAGATTGGCGAGAGTTTGACAATTTTGTGCGAGTGGCGAATGGGCATGCTATGTCACGTATGCCTACGTCTTGGTTGGCGTCCCCTCATATGTCAGGTCAGCCGATGATGGACCCCATGGCTAACTTGCGGGAGGCTCAAGATCCTCGTCAGTTACATGTTCTCCTTCTGTGCAGATCTTTCAATACTGGGTGACCACGCAGGGTGGTCGGGTTGCTATGGCTCCTCTCGCAGTGGTTTAGTTGCGAGAGACGTTGGAGGATCAGAGCCGAATAGTTCGCGAAGGTGAGGTTTCCTTTTACATGGGACAGCAGCAAATACAAGAGGTCCTCTACAACAACCACCTCAGCCAATGATCCCTACTACGCCATCCCCGCCTGGTAGAGCTTTCCTGATCACCTCAAATAGACCGGGATGTGGAATCAGTTCGTCTCTCGCGACACCGTATGACCCAACTCCCATTACCCGATCACCTCCATTATTCACCACCCCACTTGGGCCAAGACTTTTCTTATAAAATGGGCCCTGGCCCTGGGTATCCTGGCCCCATCTCAAGTCCCCCACTTTCATTAGTTGTCTCTGACGAGTAAAGAAAGTATATATGCTCTTGACCTTCAACGCACCTCGACCCTTCCAACTCCCGGCCTGGAAGCTCTCCTTTCCCTACAAGAGAAAGATAGAGCTACTCGCCACCTTCCCTTCGTGCGGGCTTATTGGGACACCATGCCGGGAAGGGTATCATAGCGGCCCACTGTGGAGCGGCACATATTGAACATCGAGTCGCATAATTTAAACTCCTAGATTGCTGCGAAATGGGATAGGACGCGTCGACCGCATTGACCGCTAAGAAGCGGGGTAGTAATAAGTCAACCGCTGGAAAGCACAATAGTGCACGTCGACCGCTAAGAAGTGGGAAAGAAATATTTTTGACCGCTAAGAAATCGGATAGATAATAAGTCGGCTGCTACAGGCCCAAATGGAAACGTGTACGCCCCCGGCTTTGAGATCGCATCCTGTTAATCTGGGTGTACCTGTAGGTGGGCTGCATGCTACCTCATGCTAGCACCACACACTTTTTTTTTTAAACGGTGCACGCGGGGCTGCGTACCATACCCTGCAGGCCCAGGTGGATGTGTATACCCCTCGTCTTGGGGATCGTGTCCCCTTCAACGATGGTATACTAGTGTGGGGGTTGCCTGCTGCCTCATGCATGCGTCACACACCGTGTGATTCCTTTTTTTTTTTTTTAGGGAACGGCGCACGCTGGGCTGTGTACCATACCCTGCAAGCCCAAGTGGATGTGTGTATACCCCTCGTCTTGGGGATCGCGTCCCCTTCAACGATGGTATACTAGTGTGGGGGCTGCCTGCTGCCTTAGGCTAGCCCACACACCGTGTGATTCTTTTTTTTTTTTTTTTTTTTTTCGAGAATGTACACTGGGCTACAATCCCTGTAGGCCAAGGTGAAGATGCGCATGTTGGAGCGGAGCTCACGTTCATGCGGGTAGATAACAAAGATTCATCATCCTGTTAGGATCAACATAACTTTATTATGCTTAATAACGAGGATGAAAAACAAAACCAGAAAGAAAAGAAAATGTGAAAGCGTACCAAATCTAGGACATGAACTTATGTATTCCACGCCCCTCCGGGAGGCGGCATCCGCCACCCCGCGCTAGGCCTGCGCGTACTGGGTGGAAGTCTACTTCGAAATCTATTCATCTGGGTGCTCGCTGGGACTTGAGTGCGTGATAGAATGTAAGACGATGGGTAAAGCTAGGGACGCACGCTTTTTGTAACGTTCCCACAGACGGTGCCAATGATAGTTTTAATGAAATCGGATCCACCATAAACTGGGAATAGGAAATATAGAATGGGATAAAAAAGCTATTATTGCCAGTGGGGAGCGAGGCCCACATAAACGCGCACAAGCCCAATGTCGCACGCCTAGAAAGAATAGTACAGGAAAGTTATATGCTGAAAAGGGAAATAAACGGATAGACAGAAACCTGAATTACATGCATAATACCAGAATCGATCTTTGGACCAATTAGGAGAGAGAGAAGACTCAGACCGCCAAGCTACCAGGTCTTTTATGTTTCTTGCCATGTCCTAAACTAACCGGAACCCCCCCCCCCTTTTATCCCTCTTAGGACTTCCGCATACCACCCACGTGTACGACATCTACGGGCCTCCAGCTCCCACTATACACGTGTCCTCCCCTCTCCGCACGTACCCCTAACTGCTCGAACGGGACCGATCTTGTCGCGCACTACCCCGGATTCTTGCTCCTATACGTACCGCCCTCCGTCAGCTGCCATTCCGTGCGCAGCATGCATGCACCAGCCGCCATTCCACCCACATGCATGCACGTACGTAGTCTCCAACAGCTTGCATGCAACCGCCACCCGTACGCATGCACGGCCGCCACCCGTACGCGCAGCCGCCACCTTGTACGCATGCAACCGTCATCCATACGCGCAGCCACCACCTTATACGCATGGAACCGCCACCCGTGCGCGCAGCCGCCACCTTGTACGCATGCAACCGTCATCCGTGCGCGCAGCCGCCATCTTGTACGCATGCAACCGTCATCCGTGCGCGTAGCCGCCACCTTGTATGCATGCAACCATCATCCGTGCGCGTAGCCGCCACCTTGTACGCATGCAACCGTCATCCGTGCGCGCAGCCGCCACCTTGTACGCATGCAATCACCTCGCATACACGCGTGCATACATGTTTGCGAGGTCCAATCGTACGTATAGGCATGCGAGTCCATGCATGTGAGCCCCCCTCCTCATCCCTTTGAGCTCACACTCTCTAATCTACATGGGCCAGGCCCATTACATTGTTCTCCATCAATTACCATTTAAATACTTTGTATTAAATATTGGTTATACTATTAATTATCATTATAATGATAATTTTAAAAATATTTTATTTATTATAAATATTAATATTTTAGAAGATTTGCATATATTCATGAACTAAAAAATGATTTTTTAATTATAAAGATAATTTTATTACGATTTAAATACTCTGTAATTACTTTCAGTTCAATTAATTTCTTATTCTCCATTATTAAATTAATTACAATTATTTCCTCATTTTACTGAATTCATTAATTCTATTATTAGCTTAATTTTAATTAATTCTTAATTAGTATAATAATAAAAGGAAGGAAATGATCGACTACCTAGTAATAATATTATAGGACACTCAATTTTAAAATATATTTAATAGTATGTTTTCCTTTACAATGATTTTATTAATGAAAAAAATAATTTTTTATTATAAAAACACTTTTATTACCATTTAAATACTCTTTATTAAATATTTTTTATAGTATTAATTATCATTATCATTATAATATGTAAAAAAAATTATCAATATAATGATTATTTTGAAAATATTTTATTTATTGCAAATACTAATATTTTGAAAGATTTGCATATATTCATTAACTAAAAAATTATTATTTTAATTATAAAGATAATTATCATTTAAGATTTTATTCAAAAGTAATCAAAGAAAGTGCACAGGTAATTGATATTATTTGAAGTAAAAAAAAAATATATAAAATCATTGTAAGAAGAAATTCTCTATGCTTAATTACCATAATAAATTTAGATGATAAATACAGTTGGTAATGACCATGTATTATTTACTTATTTAGATGGTAAATAGT